GGGGGGGGGGGGGGGGGGGGTGGAGAACTAGCAGAAATCCAGAAGAGAAGTGTCCTTTTGATTGGATCTTGAAAAAGCGTTTCTTCAGCTAGGAAGGATAGACTTGCCCACACAAGGAAGAGGATAGAAAGAGGAGGGAAATGTAGACGGTCCTGTAAGAAACGAGGTTGGGCAGAGTGGAGTGGGCAGAGACTTCTCAGGGCTCTGTGCTGCTGAGTTCTAGTTTGTGTTCTTCATGCTCAGCTTTTTTTTTTCTATTCTTAATCTTTGTTCTCCTCACCCTCTCATCTCTCCTCCTGTTTGCTACTTCCTCCTTCTCCTCCCCTTCCTTCTCCTCCCTTCTCCTCCTTCTTCTTCTTTTTTCTCCTCCTCCATCCTCTCCTCTCCCCCCATTCTTTCATCTATCTCTTCCTCCTTTTTTCCTCCTCTACTTCCTTCTTTTCTTCCTCCTTTTCCCCCTCCTCTCACTCCTCCCCCTCCTCCTCTTTCCCCCTCCTCTCCCATTCTCTATGTATGTATGTGTATGCTATGTAGCCTGAGCTGGTCTCAAATTCACAGTGCTCCTGCTTCAGCTTCACAAGTGCTAGGATGACAAGCATGTACCATACACTCAGCCTCTCGTGGGCTCTTCACACACACTTCCATCTTCTACTAAAAAAGAGGGAATACCATGTTGTAGGAATTGGGAAACAGAGGCACTAGGCAATAGAACTTGAATCCCGCCCATTTGACTATGAATGCTGTTTAGTCTTCATCATCATGAATGACACAGGTTTAGTTTAGTAATTCCTTCTTGAAAGACATAATACACACACACACACACACACACACACACACACACAAAATCCAACAAGAAAGATGGTCCAGGTGCCAGTGGCTCACACCTGTAATCTTAGCTACTCAGGAGACTGAGAGCTGAGGATCATGGTTCAAAGCCAGCCCAGGCAGTCAAGTAAGTGCGTGAGACTCTTTATCTCCAATAAACTACTCAGAAAATTCTGAAAGAGGCACTGTGGCTCAAGTGGTAAAGCACTAACTTTGAGTACAAAGAGGCCTAGGACTGGCAAAAAAAAAATGTTGCAAGATATTTCCTTTTAGGCTGACTTGAATTTTATACCTTCTGAGACTAAGGCTAAAGACTGCGGTTCAAGGTCAGCCCAGGCAAAAAGTGCAACTCCATTTCAGTCCGTAAGCCAGGAGTGATGGCTTGCATTTGCATGGAGCTGGCTGCCTGAGGCCTAGATAGGAGACCATGTTGGTTCTAAGCAGGTCTTAGGCAAGTCCCTGTCTGAACAATAACCTGAAACAAAAAAAACGGCTGGAGGCATGGCTCAAATTCAAACCACAGTCTCACCAAAAATATAACAAACGAAGACACCAGAAGAGTCTCCATGTGGAGTGCCTGTTCCTACCTAGACCCATTTCCCTGGGGGCTGGAGGAGTCTGCCTTTTGTTTACTAGGCTGCCAGGTGTTGTTGACAATACAGCCCAGCCACCATTTGGGCTGCATCAAGGGCCACCAGCCTCCAGCTGTGTCCTCTGGTTAGGAGTCTTGTCCTAGGCCCAGGCCTCCCTTCCCTGCCCAGCTGTTCTTGTGGCCAGTCAGGAATGGAGGGTGTGGCAGAGAAGTGCAAGCAGACCATGACGGGTTGTGGGGGGCCCATTGTGTCCCACCCTGTAGTGGGGACAAGATGGAGTCCCACCCATTGAGGGACAGCGCCCCATTTCCCCCCTGACAGCCTGTTGTGGCTGACACTTCCTCCTCAAGACTTGTAATAAAGCAGCTGGCTGCTGTGGAACATCTGGGCTGGCTTGCTCTTGGCAGTGCCCTGGTAAGCGATGGAATCCTGAGCGGAATTAACAGGTCCCGGATGCATTCATTCACTGTAGCTACTTGTTACATGTTTTGAATGAAAGCATGTGGTGTTCATCGTTCCTCTCCCTGTCTTCACACCGAGATCATGAAGGAAACATCTCCATCTCTCCAGGAAATAGCCGATTTGGTCATTGTAAGCCTTGCTTCACTATTCTCTTCTAGATAACCAGAATAATCATTGGATGACAATGCCTACACGGTCCAACACACTGACAGCTAAGGGATTCCTCAGCATAGTTGTTCTTAGATTGAATTTAGACAGTCTTGCCTTCAGGACTGGAACTGGAGGATTGTCTTCAGCTTCAAAATCTATTTGGTAGTAATTTATTTTCCCTAGTAAAGGAAAAATAGTAGGAGACCTATGGCAATACAATGCTGATAAAATTACAGTGACCACAAACGTGAAATATGGACCATCTAAATTTGGGTTTTTGCTCAAGGTTTGATAGCACCGCCGGGACCACACCTCCACTTCCAGCCTCTTGCTGGCTAATTGGAGATAAGAGCCTCATAGATTTGTCTACTCAGCTGGCTTCAACTCTCAAGCCTCCTGCTAGGAGGATTAGCTGGGCTTACAGGCATGAACCACAGGCACCCCAAGTGGACTGCTGTCTGAGGGAGCAGAATCTGGTGGTCTGATCATTTTACAGGAAATCCTGAGGAATAAAAATCACCTGTGATTTTAACATGTGTTCATTTGTGATCTTAACATTTGCTGATGATGGGAATACTCTGGACTTAGCACAAAAAGGGAAAGAAGAAAAAAACACCCTCAATTTTGGCCTTCATAAGTATGGTTACTGTTAGCT